GTAATATATTCTATTTACATGTAATCAAATCTTTAAACCGAGATAATAAATACACGGCATTAAAAAGTACTTTTATGATTGTTTTCTGAATAGAAAAAATGTAAATTAGTATGATGCATACGGTGAAATACTATTGTATATTTATTAAGTCTTCACAAGAACGATTGTGTCTACTGGGGTTTCCGGTTTGATTACGATACTTACGAGGTAAGAAACGATTGAACTATTCTATTACCTAATCGACTGTAATCATTCTACAGATCCACAGTTTAATTTTAAGGTTGTTTATATGATTCATTCGAATTTACCCACATTTCTTCGGATCAAACTCTTAAAAATAGCCGAAGCTCTTACCATCCATGAGCTCAAACCAAAACTATACGTACAATAGAAGTACGTCTTATCATTATCGTTACCATGGCCTTAATATTATTATTGTTATCATTTTTTTATTATTATTATTATCATTTCGATAATGTAATAAGAAGACGAAGATTATCCATTTCCCCTTTACTTATATCTTATATTCTCATTATTTTATTCATGAATACTCATCAGATCATCTTATTTATTTTTACACCTCTATGACCTTTAATTATTGTATCCAAAACATTTTATTCATTCTAATCATCTTATTATAATCTTGGTTATTAGTGTTCACATTTTCGCACGGAATTAGTACTTTCATAAAACATTTTCATATATATATATACGATTGTACAGCTTGATAATAAATTCGTTGAAAAGAGATCCCTTCGCTGAACTCTGTGTTTTAATTTTATTCTATTATGAATGGTTCTACTGAGGACTCTTTGAATACAGCTGGCACATTATAGTTCAACAACTACCAACAAGCATTAAAAATAGACAAAGTACACTAGAAACCTGATATTTGAGCAGAAAAATGCAGAACAACTTGAAATAGTAAAATTCAGCACATATAATAATGAAACCGTGGTCTTTAAGGACACACAAAATTATTGAACCAAGAGTAGTTGTAACCAGTCTGAAAGAAAATGAATCAGAAAAATTGCATACATAATTACCGTTTCTTGTATAGCTAACATTATTAACAAAAATTTAGGTAATTCCAAGATCTTCGCAGTAACGTTGAAATATACCAATGTAATTTATGATTTAAGATTCAAAAATTCTTTAACAGCCCATTAACACTAGTTGATATTGATTAGTTTTAGATGTAGACCTTTAGATTTTTGTGATCAAAGCTAACATTAATCTCATTAATAATATATTTTAGAATAAATTTCACTGGTTTCAGTAGGTGTTCCTAGAAAAACAGACTTTATTTTTATTGGCATGAAATAACTCGACTATGGTATTCTTCATTAATTTTGACTGTAGACATTAAAAGGAATGTAAATAGAATGGGATTTCTTCGAGTGGAAGTACAAAAAGAGAATTGTAAATGTTTTGTATGATAATTGACATGAATTTTTGTTTTTGACTCTGGGAAATAGTAAATTTCAGTGTAAGTCTTTGATTTTTTTAAAGATTTTCATATAACGATATTAAAATTAGTCTTCAGTAAATCGGTTAAGGACTAAAATTTATTGATAAGAAAATATTTAAAACATGTAACAGGAGATTCAATTGAAAGAATATTGATATCAGAAGGGGCTTTGTTGATATTATAGTAATTTTAATAGTTGAGATCATAAATCAATTTCGTGGATCGGTTGAAGTTAGACATTAGCACCGTTGGATGCCGGCTGGCTCAATTGTCTGATGGTTAAGCGCTCGCGCGCGAGACTGATAGGTCCTGGGTTCGAATCTCGCTAGGTGGGATCGTGTATGCACACTACACACAATAGGACGAAACGACAGTCCAGTGCTTCCAGGTTTTCCATGGTGGTCTAGATTCCATTGATTCATGATCTCAACTTTTAAAAGAATATTCTTTGTTCATTTACTTTTTTACTTTGAAACCTTAGTAATATGTCTTAAATCATTGACATTTAGTTTTTATTCTTTTGTTATGAACACTGTTAACAAATTAAAAATCTTGCAAAAATAGAAAACAAGGTTTACTACTGTAATAAATATTCAGTTTGGAAATGATTAATGGAATATTACAGTTTATAAATTGTTTGTAAATTAATAATTCTGAGTTTTGTATGATGAGTGTTATTTAGCTTGACAATATTTATGGTAGATTTATGAACATAGAGAAATGATAATGTTCTTAATCTTATTACGTAATAGTGAAATTTGATGTCTAAGTTACGTTGTTTGAAATTTATCGGTAACGTATGTCGATATCATAAGTTTACTTACTTACGCCTGTTACTCCCAATGGAGCATAGGCTGCCGACCAGCTTTCTTCAACCCACTTTGTCCTGGGCCTTCCTTTCTAGTTCTATCCAGTTTTTGTTCATTCTTCTCATGTCTGTCTCTATTTCTCGGCGTAATGTGTTCGTTGATCTTCCTGTTCTCCTTTGACCTTCAGGATTCCATGTGAGGGCTTGTCTTGTGACACAATTGGGTGATTTCCTCAAAGTGTGACCAATCCACTTCCAGCGCTCCTTCCTGATTTCTTCCTCCGCTGGAATCTGGTTTGTTGTCTCCCACAGTAACTTGTTGCTGATAGTGTCTAGCCATCGGATCCGAAGTATCTTACGTAGACAACTGTTAATAAACACTTGTATCTTCTGGATAATGGCTTTTGTAGTTCTCCAAGTCTCCGCCCCATATTGTAGAACTGTCTTGACATTTGTATTGAAAATTCTAACCTTGGTGTTGGTTGACAATTGTTATGAGCTCCAGATGTTTTTCAGTTGTAAATATGCTGCTCTTGCTTTGCCGATCCGCGCCCTCACATCTGCATCAGATCCATCGTCATCAATGATGCTGCCCAGATATGTAAAGGTTTCCACATTATCCAAAGCTTCTCCGTGAAGTGTAATTCAATAGGTGCATGTTGTATTGTAACGGAGAGTCTTGCTTTTCCCTTTGTTTATATTGAGACCTACTGCTGCTGAGGTTGCTGCTACACTGGTCGTTTTCTCCTGCATTTGTTGTTGCGTTTGTGATAGAAGAACCAGGTCATCTGCGAAGTCTAAATCGTCAAGCTGCATCCTGCCTGTCCACTGTATCCCGTGATTTCCTCCAGATGTCGACGTCTTCATAATCCAGTCGATCACCGAGAGAAAGAGAAAGGGTGAGAGTAAACAGTCTTGTCTAACAACGGTCTTTACCTCGAATGAATCGGTGAGTTGTCCTCCGTGGACGATTTGGCAGTTTAGTCCATCATAGGAGTTCCGTATGATAATGACTATCTTCTCAGGCACATCGTAGTGTCGAAGAAGCCTCCATAGTGTTGTCCTGTCCACGCTATCAAATGCCTTCTCGATATCATAAGTGTTGATGTTAACTCTGATCACACTGCCAATTAGTTTGAAAATGAGAGCGTTATTTGCTGAGCCAATCAAATATCGGCTTGACGAGTTCTGAGTAAATGTTCATGTTTCATTCAACTAATAATCATTATTACAAAAAATGACAATTTTTAATGGATGTACCATTCAGGTCTTCATTCTAGTAGTCGATACTCAGATAGCGATTATTCAAATTAAGTTATGAAAATCAAAATGAAAAAGAAATACAAATCTTCATAATTATTTATATATAGTCAACGAACTGCTAATGTGCCAAATTCTACTAATATCCTCTATACGAATGTTTATTTATATAAGTAAGCGGTAATGAAAACCTAAATAAACAATCTAGTGCTTCAGGTTTTCACAATTTCTTGGTTCTTTCTTTTGGAATTGATTTTTCTCATGATGTAACATCTATCAAAGAGTCACTGAAAACCAAAAATTACTGGAATATTATCTTGATTTCTCCTAACGCTACTCAGCCGTGTGTATATATAACCTCATATATGAATCACACTAAGAACTATAAGTATTAAAAATAGTAAAATATCTTTAGACTTCTGAGTAAGAGTTTAACAGATCGAAGTTTTCAGCTTAATCATCACCGTGTCTGGATGTTTTGATGCGGTCACAAACTATGTTTATATGATTTTTTTATAGCTATATCCTGTAATCTATAGTTTTTTTCTTCAAATACTGCAAATGTAGTGATTGAAACCCAATATTCATCATTTAAAAACTCAATGCATTAATCATAGGGTTCATGAATCTTAGAAAACGTCTCAATTTATAATATAAATATCAGTATTTATTATACAACTGCCTATATTCTGTTTCATTATTATAACCATGGTTAAAATTAATCATTTTGAAAAAAAAGATGTTTAATTTATTTTTATAAGTTTAATTGTCATGAAAATTTAAATTGAAGTGTTTAAAAATATAATCAATTAATTTTATGTAACTTTTATTAACTAATTCAAACATGTATCATGCTCAACCACTGGTTAAATGTATTTATTCAAACTTTGATCTCATTTATACGAATATTCGGCGAAACTATAATTCGTAGAGGAACCAATCAGATTTAGAATAATAGGTCGTGGAATTTAGCGTAAAATGCATTCACCCATTTGCTTAAATAGAGTTTTGGCATTATAACTGAAAACCTTAAATCTAGTTCCTAACCTTAACTATCAACTGTAAATCATAATTCTAATTTCTCAAACAGGTTTAAAACCCTCTTTTTGGTCCTAGTTATTAGGTGGACACTCCCAAGGTCCGTCTAGCGTCGCTCAAAAGTCGCCCATTAATTATAGTCTCACAGAATATTCGTCAATATTAGAATGAATAGTGTGACAAAAATTGGACCCCGAGTATGGAGAAGCCATTATATATGAAAATTATATTTAAAGTGATCTCAGTGTTTGAAACCCAAATAATTCCAACGTTTCGTCTAGCAAACTCGTCTACACTTCCTCAGGGACGAAACGTTGGAATTATTTAAATTTCAGTCACTGAGATTATTCCAAATACAATTTCTATACATAATGGTTTAATTTAATTGTTAATCATGGACTAAAACATATAATTTGTTTTTAGGTATTCACTATGAGAAGGGATAAAATTCACAATTTATCCAATATTTCAACGAATGATAATGATGATGATATTTCGTCTAGTTCATATACACATTCAATCGATGCAACACATAATAACAATCATTCCATTGTTGAATCGGTTAGAAATTATGATGAATTTCAAGGTATGTTTTCTTTAGTAATTATTTAACAACTGAGTTTGTTCTATAAATTCCGTGATTATATACACTTAAAACCTCCATGTTCTGTTCATTTCAGATTATTACATATAGTATGATATATATATATATATATATATATATATATATATATATATATATATATCATATTATGTCACTTCAGTGACTAGTTTTAGTTCAGTTCATGTCTAATTCACTGTTACCGTTATTATTAAATAACATTTTACAATTTATAGACGTGTGGTATTTTTCTTTTTTTATCAAGTTTTATCCAGGATATATTACGTCTACTAGAATAAATGATTCGATATTCAACTGACAACTGACAGTTAAATTTTCATCGTGAGATTTAGACTGTTCAACTTTCGATAAAAAATTTAAAAAATTATTTTTTGAATAATTATTCTAATGATAGTTCTGTATAACAAATAAGTTTTCATAAGTTCCTTTTTTAACCATGTAAACTGGAGCTATTGATGTGAAGGTTACACATGTCAATTCATGTGTAAAAAGAATATGTCCGCTTATTTTCCAATCCATTTTCCTTTATAGTACTTTCCAAGTTACTTTTCAAAATATGAAAAAAACGAATAATCTGTAAAAGTATGGATGTTGAATAGAGACGCTTCTCTTAATTGTCATTAATAATATAATGACTAATAGTTTTTATGTTTTCAAGATATGTTTCTGTCAATGGATAGAGTTACAAGTTAAGCCTTGAAATTTCCATACAAGTTATTCAAATATCTTACAGATATTGTAATTAGAATTTCAGTGTATATAGCTTCGAAGATTCAGTTTGATGTCTACTTCATTCAAAATAGTAATTTTGCTTTTTTTATTACTAACTAAATAAACAATATCTAACCTTATGGCCATCTATAATAGTTTGAATAAAATTCTGCAGTCGATCGTTTTTGAAAGTTTAGTTACCATGTGTTCTGTAAATCAAAATTTACGCTTACAACATACATGTAAAAGTTGTGTAACTTAAGGTATTTCAAAGTCCTAACATTACTAATCGAACTTTTACTCATTATGCATTAATCTGAGGTAGCTTAACGAAACTTATCATTCGAAACAACTCAAGCTACTTAGACAATCTTTTCAATAAAAATTCAAAAATATATAAATATCACATTCGATAAATTATAAATACGGTTCTTTGAATTCAGGCAATAAGATTATGCTTAGGAATGGTTTACAACCAATTATATAATTTTTTTGCGCGAACAAAATGTGTGCGTCTGGCCACACTGAACATTCATTTTGAAATATAATTGTTCTATTGGAGTTTATCTCCATGGCTATAATGAATTTAAAACAGTGATTTCATTATCTTCTAGTATATTTTACAACAATCAGTCAATTTTGTATAGGCTTGATAACATTACAGTTCATTATTCTCTCAGTCATTACTAAATCATATGACTCTATATGTGGACTATATTATCAGTAACTATGTTAATGAAGATTACAGAGTAATATAATTAAAATTTTATAAATATTTTCTAACGAACCCTTACTGTTAATGATAAAAGTTAATATAACATAAATATAAGAAAAAAACGGACAACTTATGTTACGTCTGAATTTATAGTTTGATGTTTATATCAATGGAGTAAAACTTACTAGATAAGACCATCATATAAATCTGTCTTTATTTAAACAGAAGTGTTTTTTGACTCAGTCTGTATTCCTGTTCTTGTCTTGACGTCTGTTGTTGATTGTTCAAGTTTTTTAACAGCATTACACACAGTGAATATGCATGATAGACGGATAAAGAAGTGTTTCCTGTAATGATAGTTACAGTGGTCAAATTATTCAAATAAAACATTTAGATCTCAACAAACAATAACATCCATTGACATTAAGATAAACCAGAACCTTTAAAGGATAGAAATTATGCAAAATAAATGCGTTTAATTAAAAGGTAGCATCTATAAACAATACATTAGTGTTGTTCATTTACACAGAATAGTTCTAGGGGGAAATAGGCAACTATTTTTTATAGGTACAACCAAACCAATATCCTTACATTGGGTTTCTGTAAAGAGCGTGATAACAAAGGACTTCAGTGTTGTATCAGTAGTAATGACCTAATGATTATATAATAATAAGCTTATTCACTTGTTCTAGAGGTAAATTTAGAATCTACTTTAGGGGTGAATATCTTTGTCTACGAAGAGTTCTCATGTTTTTAAAAAAATTATTTAGATTTATCTAAATTTATTTGATTTTTTTTCTAACCCCTAATTGACGGATTTTTAGAAGGTTATCTTTCATATCAGACTGCTTGAAAAACTACCAAAATTTTTTTGGACAATAGTAAGGGATCTTTTTCTTAAATTGATTCTTAATAAGTAACCAAATTAATTTATATCTCAAACAATGGAATTTTCAGTACTATACTTCCGATTCAAGCATTCCATTTCGATTCATAGCCATTAACCAATTTGCTTCAAATAAATATTTAAACAATTAGTCAGCAACTTTAATTTGTGTTTTCATTTACTATTATAGTTTTCAACTAAGTTGAAATACTTTTATTTTTAAAGAATAAATAACTATGAAGAGTAAACAGAAAAACGTCAACAGGAAAAAAAGAAAAAAAGAACTACATTAACTAATTTCTACCTCCACTGTTGATACTATTACTATCTTTAATGTTCCTACTATTAGTGATAAAACACCAACTGATACTTGGATTCTTTTCATTAAAAAAAATCATTTTAACTTCCCATATTTTACCGAAAACAAAACGATATTTCAATTCACTTAGGATAGTTTGTTTGAATCTTCCCATTGATGTTTAGAACTGCAATTGATCAGTCACTTATTGGCATATGTGCATACTCTGCGTATTGCCTCGATGGATTCCACTGCTAGCCACTATCCAACATTGCGTACCATACTTGTGAAATAAGGCTATATCGAGGCAATACGCACAGTATGCATATATGCCAATTAGAGATTGACCAGTTGCGGTCCTAACACATTAATGGAAAAATTGAAACAAACAATACTAAATGAATTTATACTTCACCCCATTGAACAACCAAGTATCTATCAGGACTCAGTAGCTAAGTGGTAATGCGATGGCTTTTGGAGCGAACGGTACTGCGTTTGAGTCTCAGAGTGAACATCAACTCTGAGATGCAGATACATCCAGCTGACGAGTCCGAAACAGGAAGAAACGCGCGTCTTGGATTCCAGTGTTAGCCACTATCCATCTTTGTTTATCTAATTTTGCTTGTTTGAATACATCATTATAGCTATTAATCGCATAACCTATTCATGTGCGTTTCCGAAAAGTGTACAACCTTTCGTTGTACAAGTTACAAAGACGGAATCAGAGATTTCGTGGTTGCTGGCAATATGCAACCCAAAAGTCGCACACTATTTAGATATCGATTGACTGAACTGCTAACGTTTAACTGGCTATCACTCAATATTTGTCCTCACGATCGATGAAGGAACGGAAACTTGTTGAAATACATTGTGCTGAGAATTATATACTGTACCAAATATATAATATTGAACAAAGCTAATAATGATGATGATGATGATTGAGTTTAAAATTTTTCTAAGGTTCATCAATTCCATTCATTACTGATGAAATCCAGACCAAGAAATTTTCATCAATCTATTTTGACTATTTTACAGTAAATCACAAGTTTATTTCATTTAACTTGACATTGTCCTTTGTTTTACAAAGTTTCCTTATCCTTATATACATTTTTCATTCATTCAAAATAATTAGGAATTATTCTACAGCATAAACATTTGGAAATAAACATGATGAATTCAATCTTTATACAATAAGCAAAACATTGAAAGAACTTGAACGTACGTTAATATAACGGTATCGATTTAGTTGACTTGGTGACTACACATTTTTTACATCAAAATAAGACGTTCTTACTAATCTCTCTCTATATACATCATTTAGTCAGCAATTATGAGACATGAAGTTACTATTAATCGTTCTTGAAGAATTAAGCAACTGTTTTATTTAGTCATTCATCTATTAGCTAAAATATACCTTGTATGTTATTTATGAAAAATTAACGTTTTGTATAATTTTTAGCGACAAGCAGTCAGGAAGCAAACCATAATTATTTGAATAGGTATTAATGATAACTAATTCATGTGACCAGTACTTTGTTGCCACATACTATTCACAACTAAATAAATGTAGGAACGAGATAAATCCAAAAATTACGTTTTAAATAGAAACGTTTTGTATACGGATATATGTGGTTATGATTTATGGTCCAAGTTGAAATGGTTTGTGGTTGAGGAATGATTTTTTGTAAAAACCATATTACTGATAAGTTCTAGGTAAAAAACGTTTTGAAAAAACAAACATCAACTGTTACATGATTTTTACTACAGATGTACGCCTGATTAACGTTATTCAATACCTTTATCTTTGCAGGGAATTTACAGTCAGCTGCTTGGTAATTATATCAAGAATAAACTTTATTTAACAGTTTATTTTGGTACCACGAAAGTTGTCGTTGTGTTACTGAACAAAATTAAACATTTTTTAAGGAAGAAACTTTTCTTTTCGATGATATCATAAACTAAGACAGTACAGTTGCATTCATAGTTATTTCTTATATGTTTCAGTTTACAAAAAAAATATTATCTCATCAATAACAGAGGTATTAGGTGTTAATCATCATTTTAAGTTGCGAAATACCTGAAAGATAATATTGAAAGTAATATACATGACCGAAATATGATTGTTTACTCAGCGGTCATAAATAAGGTAAAGAATACAAGCGAACACTTGTCCATAACCATTTACAAGGTAACAACGGGCTGTTAGGAATTTAGTGAACTAATGAGTCGGATATACATTTCTTAAACAGAAAAGATAAACCTGGACTAATGAATTGTTATCTCGCTACCTTAGAAGCCAGTATATCTTACGTTGAGTCATTTTAAATAAAGATTTTAGTGGCAGTAGATAACCAGTGTAGTGAATGGAAACTCAGGTACAGTAAAATGAATAATTATTCAATGCGAAATCACACAGTTTTTGTGTGAAATATGGAAATCATACATTGAATACGACATTTGTGCATTTTCCTTGAGTCATCCTTTACTTAATCCATCATTTTTACAACTCTGTTGTTGTTCCAATCGCTCTCTGTTTTACTTCCTTTTCCTCTTCATTTAATCTTCTGCCAATAAGCGTTACACTTTCAATCTCTGCAATGTACTCCTTCTATCTGTCCCCATAAGTAGCTCACATCACACTAGAAATGTCTAGATTAACTATAAGTACAATCCTACTGCCCTAGAAAATGACACTGTCGACAAACAAATTCTTTTTGCTGAAATTCCCTCATTTCATCTAAGTATTCAATGAAATATTTTCGTTTTTATGTTTTTGTTTGTCATAATTTCAAGGAAGAATAGACTCATTGTTAACAAATTAATCCACTCAGTTTATCATCTTTAACTTGACATTTCTGTTATCAAAATTTTTTATGAGTAACAATATATAACTCTTTCATATATGAATAGGAATCAAGAAGAAGTTAATAACAATCATTTCCATCGAAAGACGTGATTGTGACTCGACACTTAAGATGCCTTTACTGTTTCGAATAGAAATGATCATGCACACTTTAAATTGATTCTAGATCCTAATACGTTTTCAGTTTCTTTTTTACTTCAATGGTCGATTGAATTTTCAGAATAATAGCTGATATATATATGCAAGTTTCTGATTGTACAAGCAGATATTTTGAATAAAAATATAGTTATTTATCTAAGTTTTCCTAATAAGGGTTAATCTGCAATTTATTGACTAATATAACTTGAACGAAATAGTCTAGTTCGAAAGAAAATATTGTCTGATAATAAATTCCTGTAAAATGAATTGACCTCCCAAAATTTGGTACACTATTATTGTGAATGTATTATAAAATATTATTACAACCGTTCCATTTAGCTTTATCATTACTACACTATTATAAATAAGTTACCTTTAAGTGATTCACTTTCTCATCCAATTATTCTCAAATTTATTTTCCTTTCTATATATTTACCGCAAAAAATTGTAAACACTACAGATGAGTTGTTTGTCCTACATATATATATATATATTGATGATTCATTCAAATGAATGAATTTGTCAAATGTATCTTGGTTGATCAGAGTATAATAGCAAATTTACAATAATTTTTAAATATATATATA